CTGCTGGGGACCAGCGGCCGCGTCCCCCAGCCGTAGTTCCTTCTGTCCCTTTGAAACGCATCTAGTCCCTGTTTTGCTGGCTGCTCCCTCGGGTTTTGCAAGACGGGAGAGGAAAACCTCCCCGGTCGCCGCGCTGCGCTCTGCCCTTCAGCACAGCCACCCCTGCCTGCCTCAGCCCGGCGGCTGCCAGCCCTGAAATCGCTTTCCATAAAGAAGCGTCTCCAAGCCTAAAATAATGTCACGGCTCATTTCCGAGCTCAGTATCCCTGCAGCGCCACATTGCCCTCGCTGCAACCGTCACGGGGGAAGCGGCGTTAATTTTATATATTTACACATATTGCAAGAGCCTTTGCAGCTGCGCTGTGCTCAGCCCTGCCCGCGCACCCGGTACGAGACCCAGGGGTTCTGCAGTGGGAGCCCCTGCAAGGCTCGAGGGCTGATGATTCCTTCTCCTTCCTGTGAAAGGGTATCGTGGAACGCAGCAAACCAGACCTCGATCCAACTAGATGCAAGACGTGTTTGTGTTGGTAGGTTTCGGCCTCGCTGCTTTCTTCCAAACAAGCTCTCGCTGTGCAAACACACCCCATGACAAGCCGCCCCGGCCAAGCCACGCAAGCAAATAACACTTTAATGCTAAACAGCAGAGAAGCTTCAAAGCAGCTGGGCTCTCCCAGCAGCCCCACCAGGCGAGCTCCAGCCACGGGTGTGCAGAGCTGACGTGTTCCCAGGGGATGCTCCGTGCGCCGTCCCGAGCGCATCCCATGGGCTCTTAGCAAGCACCAGACACCAGCCTTTGGGCTTCCCATCTGAGAACCAAGGGGCATCCAGCGCCTCAACGGGATCACGTAGCTGGGGAAGATTACGCGTGGCTGTAAAAATAGCTTCCAGGGGCAAATGCCAAGAACGTCTTCCAGCATCAACACGGCGGAATAAAAGCAGCATTCAGGCTGGCCAGAGCGCGGGACAGGCTGCGGGCGCGCAGAGCTCGCAGTCCCGTTGCCCATGGAGCAGCCCGTGCAGCCCCGCTCGCTGCTGCCGCGACACCAAGGGGAGCAGGACACGAGGGCTCCGCGCCACGGCTGGCAGCCGTTCTCACCCTTGCAGCCCTGCCGCGCGTGCCACACTCCTGCACCTAACGAGATTCGGTTAAGCAGCTTGAGCTGACTAAAGCTGTTCCACTAAGGAGAGGTTTTTCTGTTAAGGGCTTAAACCTAAACCATTCAAACACTGGGGATGAGCAAGCAGAGATATGAGGACAGATACACAAGGGAAAGGCAGGACCTGGGTGAATTAACCTTGCAAGCTCTGGTGCTCGGCGAGATCGCTACCCCACGCCACGTTTGCGCCCTGATCCAACAGGAGACAAGAGTACAGGTCAAAGGGAAGGAAAGGGAAGACGTGGGGAAGGATGGCATGGAAAAGGCTGCTCCCTCGCTGGGACACCACGGCCAGCCAGGATTGCAGGATGACCTGCGGCGGGTTCCGCAGAAGACACAAGAGCTTTGGGAGATGCAGGGGAAGGGACAGGCTTGCTGGGCGCCGAGGAGCCCGCAGTGGAGAGGAAGCCCCTGAATCGGCACAACGGGAAGGTCGAGTCTTTCCGTCCCCGCGCAGGGACGGCGGCACGCGAGTGGTTCACCACACTTCCCCTTCCCAACGCCCGCTCCTGCTGCACCCGCCCAGCTGCGTTCCCACTGGGAAAAGCCTGGGGACTCCACGCTCGGATACAGAGAACCCACAGCCCGCAGCACCATGGCAAGAGCCGCGAAGCAGCGGGGAACGCAGAGGGAGGCTGCAAGCGCTAGGAAGGAGGGGATTGCGTGGGAGAGGAAGGTGCGCCGCGCTCCGCCGCGCCCCGGCTCGGCGTCCCGGGCTGGGCGGATCCGGACGTGGCGAG